AAAACACATACACTGTTCTGAACAAGCTGCATTGAGACTTCGAGACTGCTTCATTATTTTGTACACAGATTTTTGATATAATTTAAAATTTTAATAACATACCGTAATGGCTAAATTTGGTATAAATAACAAGAAATAAAGCGTTTGCAACTGAAACCATTTACAATGATTAGCGAACATTGAAGCAGAAGTCTGAAGCAATTCTAAGCTATCGATCTGGATTCAAGCTAAAGAAAATTTTTAAAAGTTTTAATAAATGATCAAAGTTTAATAAATGATCAAGGTATCTGTTCAGATTAATTTTTATTTACTGTAGAATGAAGAATAAATAATAGATAAAAAAGTTTGATTTTTGTTAGGGGTAGAATATTCAATTATTGTAGGCAAAATAATCAAATGCACTCCTTTGAACTGCACTGATAGAAAAAAGAATAGTGCGCAAGAATTCATTTATCACGATTGTGTTGTAGTTCATAACTATTAATAATTTAGCACACCTCTAAATGGATTTTAAGACCTTCTTAAAAGTGTAATAAATTTATCTCACAATTTTTACATATTTTTCTATTTTATCAGTTATAATGAACAAACATTAGTTATTTGTGCATAATGAGATTAAAATAAATGATCAAAGTATCTGTTCAGATTAATTTTTATTTACTGCTCACAAATATAACTTTATTATACAGCTATTACTCTTCTTGCTATAATTTTTTTAATTATTTGTATAATTAATAGAGCTATTTTATATTGAGTGAAGCACATTTGGCTGATGAAAGATGAAAAATTATATAGCAAGCAAATTTAATGTAATATAAAGCATAATTGATATATTTGTTATATTAAAATAAAGGATGGAAAAAAATTGAGATGATAGATGAGAAGAAGGATATCATGCAAATTTTATGGCAGCTGCTGAGAAGGATAATGATTAGCAGTGGAAGAAGTGAAGACGAGATAAATGGTTGTAAGGATTGATGAATGAATAGCTTGGCATTGACTCGAAACTCAACTCCACAGATAATAGATAAACAAATTTGGCTTAGCTGTGATGAATGCTTTGCAACCAAAATTTGCATCTCAAACAAAGTGAGTCAATAATTGTGTTTTTATCTTACATTGTTCGTAACTTACGCTAACGAGCCCACAAAAAGAGAAGTATACGTTATGGCAATATCCTGAGAATACTAATACTACTCATCTTACCTTTTTCCTACCGTTACTACTAATAGCCATTTTATAAATGTATCTTTCCATTTATTGCTTATTTATACACACAAAAGCACAAAAATGGTAAATGGTAATGATAATAAGTGAGAAAGAAAAAAATTAATTTTAATTTTAGAAAAAGTTTAGTGAAGTGATTGCTATATTATTCAGCTGAATACGCACAATTTGAATAATTTTTAAAATGTGGTATGACAAGTTTCATGCATTTCTACGAGCTTTGACTGACAAGTAAGTATTACGTATTACAAATTGAAAAGTGCCAAGTTTTTGTTGCATACAAGTGAAAAAAAAAAAAAAAAAAACCAAAAATAGCACCCAAGAAAAATAATGACTAGAAGAAGTTGTAAAAACTTGGAAGACGAAGACAAACAAATGTATTGCATGGATAGCAAAGCTAATAATGGGGTTTTTTAAGTAATAAGTCTAAGCTTATAATCCAACAAGCATTAAACTCTTGCAGCTTACTCTCTCCTGTGCTAAAAAGACGTAATTTTTATCGGCTAACAATTTGTAAGCATTTTCATCATTCAAGTAAGTATATGAAAAATGCATTGTTGTTCGTTATGAAGATTTGCTAAGAAAGCAAGAAATGTGTTGCCCGAAGAAATATCTGAAAATTAAAAAAATACATTCATTCTTCTAGTTGTTGAAAAAATAAACGCTTTTTATCTTCAAAGAATTAGAACAAAGTGAACTGACAATAAAAATAAGATAAAAGCCTAATATTTGATTAAGGCTTTTTTTTCCTGTGGTACCACGAAAAACCTAATCACAAATAAGTTTTGCAGCTAAATGTAGAAATGTCAAAAAAAGAAAATAATAAATAAAAATAAACATACCAACTTTGATATGCGCGCTAAAATCTTCCACTTATTAACATAGTTTTCTGCCTATTCAGACATACTTTCTTAATTAATTCATCTTTTTTTCAATTGCAAAGAAATATTTTGAACATCATTTTGCTCACTGACCAATCTGAAATGTATTTTCAATTCGATTACTCATTAATTCAAGTAGTTTGTGATTAATTTGTGAAGTGGTTTAGTATTGTGACATATTTGTAGATAACAGTAACAGATAGATCGATTAATCAATCAATAAACCGCAGAATAAATAAAATAGCAGTATGATTATCAGTTTACTTCATGCAAATGATAAGGCATATTTTCAAACCCGTGATATTATTGCAAAAAGTGACTTTAAAGCAGTGATGAGCATTGTTCTCATATATTAAGTCTTGCGGTACAATTTAACTCGTGGAGTCAACATTTTCGAAGTCATGCAAAAATCAGAGAATAAAAACTTTACCACTATCACAAATGTTAGTTAAGTGCTTATACTTAATTTGCAGAATAAATTTTGTCAGGATTTCACATCTGCGCTCACATCGTATTGCACTTAAGTGTGTGTAATGACTCGGTTTTGTGCTGTAATTGTGGTTTATTCCGGTGGTCCGTAATTTGAAACGAATTAATTGTGGCTATATGTCAGTTTGCGTACGGTCGGTTTATTGTAGTTCTGAGTTAGGATAGGTTGTTTCTTGTGTGTGCTTCATGGTCACCATAAATTTTATTCTGTTGAAAAGCGTCATAATGTTGTTTTTAGTAAGTTCGGGTGTTTCTTTTGCGGAAAAGGAAAATGGACAGAACTGTTCAACGACCTCAATGTCCCATTTGCTTACAGTGGATTAAACTAAGTGAAGCTTCCGCACTCAATTGTGGCCATCTGTTTCACTTTCCCTGTATAATGAACTGGGTTACGGTGAGTAATACATTCCCACTTATTCATCTTATCCATTCATTCTTTTACCTGTGATCTCGATGTACAAGTGCGCTAAATTTATTTACTTTTACTTTTCTATTTAGTTTTGCAAGTTACTGCTTTCAGTAGGCATTTATTTCATTGTACTTACATTTATTCATGTTGCTTCAGAGGTACCAGAGAAATCGTCCCTTTTTATAAAAATAAAGTAGCAGTGTATCACAGCATGGTCACAAAATTGATTAGTAGTGATGTTTATACAACACAGCAAACTTCAGTTTTGAGTCTTGAGATATTTTATTTTACCCATCATAATACTGCATTTTCACTCCTAAAATTTGATACTAATGGAAAAAATTTGTACTCATAAATGAAGTACAAGTTTTGTAATATGGAATGCGAATTAAATGTTATTTCAAAATTTCCACTTATTTCCATTTTGTAATAACGTTTTATAAGAAATATAGTCTTGGAGTAACTGTCCTGTATGCCGGAAAGAAATAGTAAATGAAGATCAAGTTATTCGGCAGTTGTTCTTTCAAGTGGACGACACCAGTTACAGTGATCACGATTATCAAATCTATTCTTTATGGACTAAGGTTCGCTTATACTATATCGGTAGTACGAAACATGCTCCTCAAATAGTTAATGCTGGCATGATATTACCTTTAATTATGGTAGCTGCTTGGTAAAACTGATTATGAGTAGATCAAAATATTAACTGCGCGGTGTCAGGTAATGCTAGAACTTGCCAGTAAGATATAAGTTTTATAACAGTATTGGTTGAAATCTATGAAATAAATAGGGTTTATTGATAATTTATGATAGAAAAATGCTAGGTTGATTAAACGCTAGGGGCATGTGAAAATCATCAACGTTACTTTGTTCTCTTTTGTTCACTTTTGAAAATATGATAGTATTCACTGCTGAGCAGTTATTATTTAAATGACTTTTAAGATTGAGGATATTTCGGAAGAACTCAAAATATCTTGCGATACGAATGCGACTTTGAGGGCCGATGATAAAAAGCATTGTGTTCGTTATAATCAACTTGTATGTGCTTGTTAAGCAATTATTACTTTCTTTAGTGTAATATGTGTGGTAAATTATACATATTGCAATAATTTTTATTTGTACACATAGTTATGAATTATCATAAAAGATGGCATGAAAATTATACATCTCTTATTTGAAATACTCCAATGACTCTCACTGTTGCAGAAGAGTGAACTACAAGAAGAGAGGGAAACTAGTACTTTGCTGAAAAAAACTGTCCAAGATTTGGAAACCAAGGTTGAGCACACGAACAAGGAATTGAAGCTGTGCAAAAAGGGACTGCAAGCTTCGGAATTGTTGGTTCTTTCATGACATTTTTCATTAAAATTTGAACTTTTATTTCCTTATACTAGTTGCAGTTTTAATCTTTTGACTTAAGTCATATTTCTTAGTATATATCTTTGTAATATCTCGCTGACTTGTTAGTTAGAACAATGTGCTTTGCTTGACCCTTATTGTTTAAAATGAAGTTAAAACTTTTTGCTTTAACAAATTACTAAATTGAAAATGGTTCTTCAGTTACCAGATACTTAGCAGTCAGAATGAAAATCCCCTTCCTGAAATGGACAAATACGTTGGCGAACATGGAATAGAAGTGTCGGAATTCATCAGTCTACTTAGAGCGTAATGCACAGTTGTTTTGCTCGTTCTTTTAAATGTTGAGTGTAAATAAGGGCTTCTATCTGCACGTTGATTTTGTCAGTTTTTTTTGTTCAGCACGCGTCTCTATGCTTCTGAACTTTCTTAAGATCAGCAATTACTTTTCGTTACTGAGCGTATAATTATTAAATAAAAAAATCTTGTCCCAATACTCTTTTCAGACTTCATTAACAAAAAAAAAACAGCGTTAACTTACATTAGGCATAATAATCTTTTTATAGACAACTGAGTTGTGCCAGAAATACGATAGCTGATCAGAAAAAAGAGATGGAAGAAATGAAAAAAAGTAAGGATGCGTTACAAGAAAAGGTGGAAATTTCATGACATATTATTTATTGCTTTTTTAAATCATTTTATTTGTTCAATTCTGTATGCATTTCCTTTTAATTTACTTTCCTTTGTTTATGAAACTTTTATTTATTCTGTTCATATTTGTCAGTTTCTTCATGATTTTGCTCTTATTGTGGGTTATTAGTACCGTATTCGTTGACTACATAGGTTTTCCTTGAAAAGTTTGCTGTTGTGTTACTTGTGAATATTTTTCCTCACCAAAAAATTTAACTTACATCTCTTCTACCATATTTACTTCTCAAATTAGTTTTTCCATCATTTTCAGTTAGATGCAATTACGGAAAGTGCGACTGTTGTCAAGGAAGAAGCAGATCCAGTTTCTCTAATGCCTTCAGAAGAAATCTTGCGTGCAATGATTGAACGAGTGATAGCACATAGGTTTCTTTTTATTTTTAAAGCTTACAGTCGTTCGCAGTTTCGGACTCCACCTTTGAGACAGAAAAAATGACCTAATGTTTGTTTTGCTGTTACAAACTGTTTAGTTCTATGCTTTTTAGTGCAAAAGATGATTTATTATTTCGCCGTGATGATAGCTGTTTCGCAGTCTCGGATTGGACTTTTGAAAATGATGGAAAAACAGTACAATCTTGTGGGACTGGGCAGCGAACTGCTCAAGTTCGAAAAGAAACCAGTGCAATGGGGCAGGGAAAGTGAGTCTTGTTTGAAAGGAACACTTGATAAAAGCTTCCGTATTGTATGAGTAAATACTGAGTACAGTCTAAATAAAGATCTGTTAAATTATTGGTACTATATTTGTTGATTATTTAAACCACCAAGAAGTGCAGATCTTGTCGCATTGATATGTGTTTTAAATTTCTTTCAAAATCTTGATTTTGCGCTCGTTTAGTTCACGGGAACCCCCTGATTTCAATAGTGTCCACGAAGTTATTCAACCCAAGCTTGGTTCGAGACTACATATCACTTACTGTGAGCTGTCAAATGCACACGATGGTCGCTCAGAAAATGAGAGAGAGTGGGATTTGGGACTACCAGTAGGAAGACAATTCCCAAGCGCAGCTTACAAAAATTTATATCAATTAATGCTTTAATTTTTGCTGTAAACAGTTGCCGTGACTAATTAATCATACAACAGAGTGGACGGTAGTTGACCCATCAAAAATCAATATATTTGTCTGACGACATAACAAAAGTGATGAGAATTCCTAAGACTCCTGAACGAAAGAAGAAATTATTTAAATTCCTAATCATAAAATTGTTACATTCATTTTGATCATAAGCATTTGAAAATTTTCTCTCGGTAACTGTGAATTTCTCAATAATTTTTTATTGAAACCTCAGTATTTCTAATGTTAACAGTTCCTCCATACAATTAGTACTCGTGTACTCATCTTACATTTCATATCTGACGAAATAATAGCTGAATGCATCATAAAGTTACTAACTCTATAATGTTCTGCTGCATTTTTAAGTTATTACATTTTGCTTCTTGCACTTCAATCCATTTTATATTACCAAAATCTTCGAAGTATCGAAGTCTATTTCTTCGAGGCAGTAACTTAATGAGAACAAATCGTGCAAACTCTAGCTTTACAGCACATTATTATATACAGTGATCAAATATTAACAAGAATCAGCACTGTTAGGAATTTCGTAAGTCGCTATTGTTTAAGCAAGACGTATCTGACAGACTAGGATACTGCAAAACCAATGGTGTTATCATTTCTGATACTAGCAAAAAGATTGAGATTCATCGCTGACTGCTTAACTCAGACCTTAACTACGACTTAAAATCAAAGTAGTTTCAGTAGAAAGCTGTATTTAGCCTATTCAGTGGCACGGGAGATCAACTCAAACTCATCATCGAATTATCGCAAAAGATGGACGTGTAATTTTTAGAGTCCGTAACATTAGCTGTTTTAATCCCAGCTTTCTAAGCATGCGTAATTTGAAAATGTTTGGTGGCGTCGTGCAGAAAATTTGTCGAAATGTCGTTTAGCATCCAAATAAAGCATTGCTTCTAGAAGAAAGATCACGCTTATTCTAAGTTTTTTAAAGAGGTATTTACATAAAAAGCTAATCAAGTCTAGAATAAAGGACATAACTATCAGAATATACTTGGGATACTGATTTAGAAAATGAGTCGAAAGTGGCTATAATTAAGTAAAGAAACTCGAAATTGATGTCAGAAATTTTTAAAGTTTGTTTCATGTGGTGAGAGAAAAAAAAGATTTAGAAAACAATGCACTCTCCTGAAACCTGCTTACCAGAGTATGAGTACGGTGTTGCAGTAGGGACAGTATGATTCGATCGGAACGTCAGATGAAAGCTATTTGTTACCTAAAAGTAGCCATTGTATAAAGAAGCTAAGAAAGAGTGAGTTGTATAAGGAACCAAAATGTATTTAATTCTTTAGCAAAATATCATGATGAAACAGGTGCCCGTTACTTAGAATTAATACATGAATTATGAAATCGTTGAACTGTGTTTAATGCAGAAACACTGGGTAATTATGAGTGCAATGCCGTTGCATACCCGAATTTAGAACCATGAATACTTCAAAATCATGTCAAAAAAAAAAGATACTTCTCGACTTCCACTACTGACATCTACAACTTCAGCATCAACAGTAAGCTCCATATGGTAAATGCTTGTATAGCACACCTGCAACACTACTTCTTATAACGCTTCACCATAGGAAAAAAAAACTTATTTTTTTTATCTCACTATCATTTGGGTCAGTAAGTCGGTAAGGTTGATGCGAAATATTAGATCGCAACTCACTACCAATAAAATTTTTATCTACAACGTAAGATGTTCTTGGACCAGATTACATACTAAACTCATAGTTTATACCATTTGCAGTCAAGGTCATTCCCGAAATAATGTGATAAATCAGATGTTCAGCTAATTTTTGCATTCTTCACTAGCAGTGACAATTTAAAAATCTATTTGTTTTTACCTGACTTGATAGAAGCAAAATTGCACCTACATCTACACTTTTCCGAAAAATTATGTCATCCACTCCACAGATGTTGCAACGATTGCCACTAAAACATAAGTTGATATTTCACAAGCAAACAATAACTAGCAGATGCCAAATGTTGCAAAAATGCAAATATGAAACATAAAAGATTCCCATAAAACAATATAGAATGAGAATCACCTAAACAAGCAAGCATTAGACCAAGCCAATTCCAAAGCTTTACGCATCAAAAAGCCACCAAATATTTTTCCATATATATTTCGTTTCACAGGAAAACATATGATGCTATTGGAGAGACAAGCATCATGAATCCAAACATGATTTGGTGGTAGAATTCGACCTTGAACCTTATATCCACTGAAATTTGTTTCATTCAACTTTCTAGCCACGGATATAATATTCGTTACTTGTTTTTGTAATACATTAAGATTTTAAATATTGAAAGTGAGGCATTAATGATAAAACTGTGATGAACAAATGATACATTGAACTGTTTTTGTACAGCTAGATGCATGCTACAATACTACAACACTCACGAGCTATAAAAGAAAAATACATATTCGGATGACAAACATCATGACAATGAATGATGCTATCACAAATTTTTCAAAATAATACTACAAAATCTTTTTGCACTGATTAATGGCTACTAACAACTGACTTTCGAGTATAATTATTCATTATTATCATTATGAAGTAAACCGTTTACATTTTCAACAGACAGAGAAAACAACTTTACCGTATTCTTTTTAAAAACTTGTGGTAACATCGTTCACTGTTTGTCATTCAAATGTGTTTTCTTTTACAGCTCACTAAACAGTGATTTGAAAAATACCTAAAAAATCAGAAGTGGTTTTGAGATATTTTCAAAATCACTTTTCAGCTGACAGAATCAACTTTCAGACTCTATCTTACATACCCAAACTGAATAGTTTTTTTAAACATGTCATGCAACCATGTGGTTTCCTCTTCATTGGGTGGTGTTTTTAGTAGTGATTTTTCTTCTTTTAATTTCCTCAAAATATGCGCTTCTGCAATGGTAAACAATTACAATCAAAAAGATGATTGGAAAATTCTTCAAAAAATCGAAATTTGAGATTAATGGAGTGCTATTTCCATAGTATGTTCTTCCTTAAATTAAAATCTTAATTCTTAGTCAGCATAAGACCCATTTTGAAAAACTTTTCCGTTATGAAACTTGATTTGAAAATGCACAAAACTTTGAACTGTTTCTTGAAATAGCTGCTCATTAAATTTTTCAAATCCATTACTACCATGAATAACTCATCCTACTTCTGAAAGTAGTAAAGATATGTTGAAACGACCTTTTCCTTCGTTAAAAATTGATTCTTCTTTTGAATTCGTTGTAACTAAAGGAACGTTTGTTAATGACCGTTTGCCTTCCAAATCTCTTGCAACCATCACAAACTTTGATTGCAGAAACTTATTTGGTACACTATTCTAAAGGGACCAAAAAAAGCAATAGAGAAGATAAAACTAGACCCTGAAAGAAAATTGATAAACTAACTATTGTTCAGGAAGCGTACACAACTAATACGATAGTAAAACTACTACGATAGTATCAGTTGTGCATGCTTCCTTGTTAGCAAAAGTTTGGAAAACACATACACTGTTCTGAACAAGCTGCATTGAGACTTCGAGACTGGATCTACCTACCCAACTAACAAAACCTTGCATATAAATATCTTCATCAAGACCAATTTTGTGTCGGTCATCCAACTCTAAAAATTTGACATAAAATAAGAAAACACAGCAACTCTTCTGGGAAAGAAATACCTCCATATAATAAAGGAAGACATTTAAGTTCAATGTATATAATTCAAATTACTGATATGATCAACACATGCTGTGACAAATGTCATTGGTTCATGAATTTTCGTGCTGAGTGAAAATATATTCCCATGATTGTGTCGATACGCCAACCACACTAAAAAATATGAATAAATTTTGCTATATAAAAATGAAATTAAAATAACTTATAGAAAAATGGACTTTGAATCAAGAGCTGAATTTCCTAACTATAAAAATTAGGAAATATTTTCACAGCAGTTTAAAGTGCAAGACTTGGAAAGTCTAACGATTATTTAGACCTTCACAATTTAAGCTCACAGGTCAGGCAACAAACCAGCAAAAGTGTCGAGATCTTCAAGAAGTATTCCAAATCTCACATTATCACTCCAACTTATGTACTTTTTGTAAAAAAATTCATTGCGTCCTACTGAACTTAATGGTATCACTACTTGATCCTTGCTATCGTTCATCGTTCGATACTTCGCTACTTCTGCTCGACTAAATTTTTCAAGTAATGGACTGTAGTGATATAATTTATGCGGCTGTAGCAAAATTGTATCTTTATCATGCAACAGATTTAAGTTATTGCATTGTATGCAGTAACTATTAAAAAAGTCAGCTGTAAATTATTAAAAAGCAGTTGTTGAAAAAGTCAACTGTAACTTTTATAAAGAAAATAACACCTTTAAATTTTATAATATCACCAAAATAAAAATTGAATAATAAGATTCAATATTTCTGAATATAAAATGAATTTAAGAAACAATAAACCATTACTTTGACTTATTCACATTCTTACTGAGCATTGACACATGACGTTCCAGTGCTTTTTGGACTGAAAAATGATAGATTTAGGCTAAATGGTGAAAAACCCTACAGCTTCGATACTAATGTTCTGTTCCGTTAAGTAATACGGATAGTATTACTAGCAAAAAAATTGAAACAAACAATCTGAGAAACCTATGAAACAATACCATGCACGAAATACTTCCATAACGATAGAATCTTTTTAAATGCCTTGTACTTTTTCAAAACAGTATCAACTAAAAACTAGCATCTAAACAATACTTTTTAATCACAAGGGGTATTTAGTGTGACAAAAAAATGGACTCATTAATCATTATATTTTAATGTTACGGGGATTTCGCAAAATGAAATATATATGGTTTCATAATTGTTAGATTAAATTATGTTGGAATTGACTTTAGCTACACACTAACAGTTGAAGTTATTATCATTTTTTTAATATGGAACAAAACATTTGGAATGAAACCAATTTTACCGTCTATAATTGTTTTTGTTGGAGCCGCAGCAAAACATCGCTTAATAACTAATAATGGATATCTGACTGCCATATTAGCTGAAAAATAAAGTATTAAAATAGTAATGATCATATTTATATTCCAATAATTAGGAAAGTTATGAAGTCTTCAAAAACAATTACTGACAGCTTGTTGATTTGTCTACAAACATTATTAAAAACATTCCGGAAAAGAATTTTCATAACGATGCCAAAAGCTATTTAGCTTGTTTCTGCACTTTGTGCTAATTCACGTACAAAATGAGGTTGTACTTGGATAGAGAAGTTGTTTTGGATGGATAAACGGATAAGATTAATTATCAGCAGACAAATTCCTGTAGTTTAGCTTATTCTTATTCTTACAATTTCAAGAGCGCTCTAAAAGCATATTTGTCATTAAATAGTGGACAAGGATTTGTATATGCGCATCAAAGTAACGACGTTCACTGTTTCGAAGGTATGTAGAATGTTTACGGTCATTTAAATGAATAAGATGTTGTTGTGAGTCTGCGAATAGATTAATGAAGTAACTATCTATTCCTTCATATACAGAAAAGATGAAACTGGGAACTAGGCACTTCTGAACCACAGATTTGAATTTGTTTGTACAAAAGTTTATGCTAACAGAACGTAGAAAAGCAATAGTTAAAACATTCAGTTATTTTGAATGTACACACTTTACTAAGAAACGTCTGAATAGACTTACTACGTTGAGTAAATTTAAGATGTTGCTTTCAGACACATTCATTCGTAAAACTTTATTGAATGGTTTTCATATTGTATGAGCAATACAATCGTATGCTACTGGTTGCATTTTTTTCCTTTGAGAAAACTAGACAGAAGATAAGATCATGTATAAGTTGTTCTTCTTCAAGATTATTTGATTTAATGCTCAGCAAAAAGTCAGACGTGATTCCTGGTCACCAACACTATTTTCCTTAGTTTTTGCTGGATATATAAAAATCAAGTCCTACCTTTCAAACGTCTTAAACTTTCCATCACCACCTCATCAAGAGAATAACGCCTTGCAAGTGAAAGTTGACCTCATAGAAACATGAAAACAACTGTAAAGTTTTCGTTTTCCTTGACTCGAAAACTTCTCCATAATTCAGAGACTTTAAAAAACGACACCTGATAAGTACAGCAAGTAAAGTAATAGCTGTAATCAGACTTCTCAATTGCTCGTGACATGAATTTCTCAGAAATAAGACAAAACACTCTCATTTGCACCTATTTTTCCACTGCTTGGTCAAAATTTAAAATGTCGGCTGTACAAAACATAATACATTATCTCTGGAAGAATTTTCACACACAAACAAATGCATTTATTGATAAACAGATAAAATCAGTCATATGCACATCAAGCTGCACAATTTCGATACAGAGAAAACAGAAACGTCAGAGAAGAACATAAAGTGTTCACAACCTAAAAGAGAGATCAGTGACTGTTAGCTGTAGTTAAAAGTTTTCAGTCTCGTGCACTTCCATAAAAAACTACTTCATAACTACCTACAACTGCTTTAACTATAACTTGAAATTACTCGCACAACAAGATGTAAGAAACAATGCACAAGAAATGAGTAAAACGTCAAAGAAAACAACAAGACAGGGTTATTATGCAAGCAAGCACCCTATAACGCAGAGAATCTTACTCGTACAAAACAAAAATGACTTAATGATAGAAAATCCGTTTCACCACAAAAAAAATAAACTCCACTGAATTCCACATGAACTGTAGAATTATGTAACTAAGAGTAAGCAATGACTACATGAATCAACTTTAATGTCGTACTCTAATTACAACCTTTCTCACATGCACTTTCATTACTTGCCAGGAGCCATTAAAGGAAAATGCTCTCTCTCTCTTTATATATATATATAGTAAACGGATTCAATCATCTGATGAAGATGGAAAATATTTAAAAAATAAATCAAACATAAAACAACAAAACTGACAAGACATTAAATCTCATTAATTGAAATATTTTAACAAGGTGGTGGCTTGAGATACCTAATTTCACTTTGGAATGAAGGTTTCGTCGCAGAAATGATTACGCCAACCATCAAACAACAAATTGCAATTACCATTATCAAGCTGAAAAAAAAAGTTATAAACAATGACTTATGAAACTAGAATTTAATTTTTGTTTTATTATTCACAATTCTTTAGATTTTGCGTAATTCGATAAATAATAGTGCAAGATAATGAGACTGTGAAACCATGAAAATATCTCTCATGGTTATTCGAACTTTTAATATTAAATAACGCTTTTGCAAATAACCAATGTATGAAACTACACTATCACCAAAACTTCGGTAATACCTTATTTAATGACCGGAATACAAACCTGTTTTAAATAATGATAAAAACTGTCATTTACAGCCTACAAATATTTCGGATAGATAACAGGAAACTGGGATACTTGTTTCCCGCGTCTTCAGGTGTTTAAGCAGTGAAGAATATTCTAATGCAAAAAAGATGTTGGAAGACATCTTTCTAATCAATGATGCAAAAACATAATCCATCCAATAAAAAAAGTTATCTGGATGATTAACTCTATCGGGAAATAATATATTGATATAATTTATTTCCCAGAAAAAAATATTGAAAATAGTAGTTCGAAGTCAGCATAAGAAATAAAAATACGATGGTTTCCAGTTCGGTAAAAGTTTCGGTAATAAAATACCATCAAAATTGAAAACAAATAGCCAAAAAATAGCATTGGTGTATGGCAAAATGTAAATAAGAAGATAGATAACGAATAATAAATAAAATTAGAAGTGGCGGATAAGGATGAATGACATACAACCGTTTACAGTGAATATTTTCGTGACGTAATTTTGTTGTAAAGAATTGTAATAAAATAGAATAAAATTGCAAAAAAAGTAGAGCAGAGAGAATATCACCTCAGAATGTTGAAGCTACCGCACTGTCGCTGCCGTGTAAGGAAACTTTTATTACCGGAACTTTGTCCAAACGATGAATTCAGTTGTTGTAATTGCATCATCTGACAGCAATAACTATCAAAATTGTAATAAATGATAGAGAATAAAAAAGTAACTTCTAAATTAAAAAACTGGCATTATTAACTCGGTTTCGCAAGTGCTAATGAAAATTAAATTCATACTGTGCTTTATATTATATTCAGAATGATAAATCGTTTCACACTTGGGAATTGAACTTAGTATTTCAGTCCAAGATGACTTTTTTTTGAGACGAAAAGTGAAGAAAAATAATGAGTGGAATTACGATCATAAAATTTTCTTCAGAGGAATAAATAAAAAATTACTACATTTTAACGGCTAAAAATATTAAACGCTCTAATTGAATCATGAGTTTTTTTTTTCAAATGCAATATTAAATTAACATATAAGAAAGCAATAGGCAAAATATAACTGCCGCATAAAGCATACCACATAATGAGCATGTGTTGTGAACAATCGCTGTTCTTCTTCTAACATCATACGGCTGTGTTCATAATTTTCTTTCATTATTTCAATCTGCAAATAAAGATTGATGTTAACATACCATAATTTAATTAAAAAACGAATTCGCCTAGAAAAGTAGCTATATTTATATGAATCATAAGATCAAACAACTTCTACTGTTTGTTGTGAATTGTATACATTTCAGTTTTTACTAATCTCATAGCAGCTAAGCATAGGTGATTTTAAATACATTTTGTTTATATGCATCTCTTTCCCGACGAATAGAATCAAATTCATGTCTACTCAATGAACCACTCTCAACAGCTTTATTTTGTTCTTCTAAATCTTCGATCATACGACGAGCTTTCTCCATATAACGAGTTAGTTTTTCTCTTTCTTTGTTGACTAGTTCTTTTGTTGCAACCAACTCATCTGTAAGTCAGATCTGGATGACTACTGTTACTTGAACATTTTAAAAACGAAGAACTTACAACGATTCTCATCATCTTTATCTCAATACCGTAATAATGTAAGTACTAAACCAATTATTGCATTTTTATCGATAATTTGCTGTTCCAAATCATGACTAGCATCTTCGATTTTTGCTTCAAGCTGGGCGATCTGTATAGTCATTTTTTCATTTGTGGTTTGCTGTTTTGTTAGTAGATCGCTGTTTGCAAAATTTCCATTTTCAATTATGTCAGTCATTTCTTTTAACCTTTAAAATGGAAGTTACATTCTTAAAAATAACTTTAAAATTGTTAAACTGATGACTTGAATGTGAAAAAATGCAAATAAAAAAATAACTGACGAATATCTTATTAGAGAGACCTTACAAACAGCTATTTATCGAGTAAATTTTGGTTATAAATTTTTCAATATTCCTTCGCAACCAAAATCGGGAAGAAAATTTTTTTAGAAAAAAAAAGTTCTCTGTCGCAACTAGAAATTTACAGAACAATATATTAAACTACCAACCGTTTTTCAAGTTCACTTCCTCTAGTTTGTGCTAATTTCAACTCTGTTTCCAGTAATTTATTTTGTAAAGACATTGAATTAATATTTTCTTCCAGAGCCAATTTTTCATTATCTGCTTTAAGGTTATCACAGAGCAGATCATTTTCTGCATGCATTTGAGTGATTTTTCCGCTGAAAACAATTATAACAATCGTTAAACGTGAGTATAATTTATAGTCACAAAAGAAATCTGAATTAATTCATCTCACTGTATTTTTCTAGAAATCTTTTAAGGTTTTATTTTACTGCATAATTCATCTGAAGATCACCTAAAGGGCATCGATGAGTTCTGACTATATGCTTCATCTAGTATTGAAGGTGCACAGCTGTCTTCGTCTGAAATTATTTTTGAGCATGATCTATTCATGACTGAACTGTCAAACTAATTCACAGAACACAAATTTTTAATTTACTTTCCAAAACAAGTTTCTCGTTTAGCTCACGCCATTTACGTTGTAAACGTTTTTGATCCCCTTCAAGTTCACTAATTCGATCAGTAAGTTGCTTACATTCGAATTCAGTCTAAAAATATGCAGAATATGCAAATGTTTTTGGTTAACATAATACTTATGATACGAAGAGCGAAATGCTATCACAATATGCAACAAAAATAATCGTAGACTTTTCAAACTAATCTGATTTGATGAAAAAACTTAGAATAAACCTTGTCCGTTCTTCTAATTTCATCATTGAGTTTTGTCTTCAATTCTGTGTTTTCCAATTTTAGTGATTCAATCTGAGTTTTTAATACACCATTTTTTCGCTGCTCATCTTCAAGTGCTATGATGCTGTTCATGTATGAGCTCACCTTATCTTCCAATACCTTCATTTCGACCTTCTGTGCTTTCCATTCTTCTGAAAGTAAGCAAATAATAGTTATTTAAATTGATCTCATTAGCTGCATTTTCCACTATGTTGAAGAAACATAGAGGTACACCCTATCTTGATTGTTGTTGCGTGAAAAAAATAACTTTTTTGTTACGCTATCAAATCAAGGTAATTAAAGTCACTTAGTGAACAGTGAATAACGATCTTCTGCACTAGGAAAACCAATGAACATAGTTCATGCGAAATCGAACTAGTTGTATGTAATAAAAAAGACTGTCAATAAAAACTTGAGTAATTTAACAAAATATATTTCGACGAATAAAATGGAAAACCTCACTCATTTTCTTTTTGTAATCAGAAAGTTGACTTTCAAGACTTGAGCATTTTTTCCCTAGAAGCCGCTGTTCTTCCAAATCATCTTTTAGTCGTTTACATTCTTCTTCCAATGGAATGAGGTTCTTTATCTGTAAAAATTACTTATTTCGTCAAACTTGAAAATATTAATAAAAAATTCTTCAAGACTATAAATAATCTATCCCAAACTAACATTATCTCGCAACTTCGCATTTTCATCAAGTAGTTGCATGTTAGCTTCTTTCAAATGATTTCTTTCCCCTTCAGCTCTGAAAATATGGTAATTTTGAAAACTTCGAAATCAGTGCTACAAACAGAGGAAGTTAAATTTAGAAAAATGTTTAGTCAAAGTGATCACTTGTAAAGCGCATCATTCGTGCTGGTACGATTTGAAATTAAAGACCGATTTTGTTCTCTCAATGATTCTATTTCAAATGATAATCCAGTTAGTTCGTCGACACGCAAGCGCAAACTTTCATTATCACTGGACAATGCATCTTTTTCAGAACACGCTTCTTCCAACTGAAATTCAACTGGATGGCGAAATAATTCCGATAAAGCTATGAAAAATTTTCAATGAATACTGAAATTTCTGCTAATGTAGAGAATAAAGTATTACAGATGAAATACTTGAAAAGATCATGATTCCTTACTGAAATCCACAATTTTTTACAAGTAATGTAAAATCTAACCTTTTTATTAAGATGTGTACATTCTTGCTCTAAAACATTCACCTTATTTTTCAAGTCTGCGACCTGCTCCTTTGCATCGGCCACCTCAGGGTTCTAGATTGCGACATATAGAAATACTTATCGCTAATAATATTTAAAGTGACCATGTCATTGGAAAAATTTGAGGAATAGTTTTATAACACTATAATAAAAATATACCGATACAACAGCTACTTCAGTTTCTTGGGTTTTTCTTAGTAATTCTTTGACTTCTTGCGCGACACTTAATGAAGTTAGCTGCACGGACTTACTCTGACTTACCAAAGAACGTATAAACTCTGAATGAAAGTATAATTTTGAACCATAATAGTCTTATAAAAATTTCACTTTGACTAATGAATTATGCAACAAAGAAATTTCAATTTGAGCACATGAATTCAAGGCTTTTTAATCATTCAAAAGTTACTTTCGCTAGTTGGACCCAGTACAGCTGCTCCAAGAACCAGTTGCAAAAATCGACACAGTAGTTCGGAGTCATTATGTTCTGCTATAACTCAGTAAAGCAGTAGTCACTAAATAATTGCAGTAATTTTCAAAGAAAAAACTGACGCCAGTCTCAATTAATAATATGGGTACGGAACGAGATCTAACATTTCGATATTAGCACTTAATAACTCAAAAGGGTGGTTTTTCGAACAGAACTATCTTATTTGATCACTTAATACATTACCTATCCGTGAAACATCAATAGCCCATTGCGGCGTTATTTCACCTTCCAATTGATTAGTATAGTACTCACAAAGTCGACGATAAATTTTACGCAAATTACTTGCTTTTAGTCTCCAGTTAACTGCGACATCATAAGGTGGTATTGTTTGAAGCCATATTTCATTAAAGAAATGTGGATCACTATAAAAACTGTAGTTTCTATTCCATAAATGCATAAATGAAATCTGTATCAAAAACTGTGTTATCAAGTTTTATATGCGAAATAAAACATGATGACAACGCATACGAAAACTAACTAAAAATTTTAAACTTAAAAACACTAGTAGTAATATTACAAAATACTTTTAAAATATTGCTAGAATAAATTCAAGTGCTAGAAGAAATTTGAAACTGAAACTAACCCAGTCAAAGCAAAAACAATGTTTATTATAATACAGATAAGATCAGACTGAAACTAAAGTACAGTACAGAAATCAATAAGATAAGCAAAATCTATATTCAGTAAAAGGCTTTGCCTACGGTGAAACGAAACCACTACTTTTTAACTAGAATTTGACAAAAACTATAGTAAATAAAAATATTCAGGAAAAAACGAACATGATATATAAGGCTTCTGCAATAAGTCGTCCACAAAAAGTTTTATCCACAGTAACTTTCTCACTCAAATTTAAAGAATTCATCTGGAAATGAAAAAAATTTAAGATTTTATTCAATGAACCAAAAAATTTCTAGTCTGGAAGTTTATTATTATTACTGCTGAAATAACTTTTGCAAGTTAAAACAAAAAATAGCAAACACGAATGTTGTAAATTGTCGTCCACTGCCTAATCAAAAAAAAAAAAAAGATAGAGCTTAATAAAAAAGTTCATTTCCTTTTCAGCAGGAAGAAAAGACAGATTCCAGAATGCTTTTAACGCAATTATACAAATTACAGATTTCTATAGGGAATATAATACCAAATTGATACCTTCTCTAGAAAAATCTGTAATTAAAAACTAAAAAAAATACATTTTTTACATCCATTCTCTGTAAAAACTTATTCTGAAACAGAACTCTCAGAAAAATTATATGCCACTCCTTTAGGTAACAAGCAATAAGTTTTTGTTATAACGCAATCGCATACGCTCTATCTCACTAATTTCAAACATTAAACAAGGAAAAAATGTCAACATACCCAGGAAATCAAATCGTTCAAATATACATCCATTTTTTTAAGTTATGCAAATAACGAGCAGGCTGCAAAAACCAATATAAAGGAATGAAAACAAACGAAAAAAATTGAACGACATTTTTTCTGGTAATTTTAACCAGCAAATTGACAATTTTCAATCAAACGGAAACATTTCCGCGCTACATCTTCCGAATCTACAACTAGCTTCATATCGAAATTTCCTAAGCTAAACATTTTTCTTGTAACTGAGAAGTTACGCCAAATTTGTACACTTTATAACGCCTAACCTTAAAATTTGTGGTTTCAATGTGACATTAATTCTTGCCAAACTATTCCAGAGCAACATTACTTCCCCAACAACACATACAAACAATACCAATCAAGCAACTTTCAGATATTTGAAGTAAAGCTTTGAAAATGTGAGGTAAACTGATTTAATTTTATTACGGTACCGAAATGAAACTGTTAAGTTTTATCATTTTGAAGAATTTTTTTTTTAAGTTGTCAATCACTTCTTTTAATAAATGAAGTTTCCGTGTTATATTTTATTATGCAAAGTAAAAGAAATCTTCAGTACTTGTTCAGTTCACATACAATGCATATGAAATACTCAATTTTTAAATTACTCAAATACTAATGACGTTTACTAGACTGATTCCCAGATAATTAGAAGATGTTTGTTATTATTCTTCTTATAAGACTAGCTTTTTGTGGTTTTGAATCAATTAAATGTAATTCTTTGCAGTCGATATTTATGTGATTACTTAAAAAAAAGAATGAAATATTGAATACTTAAATGAAGATTACACTATATTAATAATGTAACACTCAGTGCGTGTGTGTGTGTGTGTGGAAGTTGAATTGTCATGATGAATTTTTGCGGTACATTTATTAAATAGCTCGTTCGTATTACCATGCAAAGTGGAAACGTGTTTAATACTTTGATAGTACGCTGACTTCAGAGCAGTATGCGAGTATTGCCAAAATCAATACGAGATGTTTCGTCAAAGTGAAGAATGATGTGTACCACATGCATTTGTACAATGAAAGTATGAACTGCACTATTCACATCCGCCATTTGCAAGCAACACTCCAAAGTGTTACCACTGATACCTGAGAGTTCTGAGTATACAAGAAAGAGGTCGGTCTCTTTAAACTAGACCGTCAGCGAACCTAACAAATTGCATTACCTACTCTTGCAAATTTCTGGCAGAAATCTTTGCAACCACCACAAATTGCTATAAATATGAAGTTCAATCCCCAGCATCAGGTTCATCTCCCAAAAACTGAAAGTATGACTTCCATTTTTACTCCCATTATACGTTGAATACATGAAAATGTGTCGGACTGATAAAATTATACATTTTATTGATACACAAAAACTCTCATACAGCAAATAATGACAAAGTAATAATATACAATATTCACAATACAATGCAACAATACAGCACCACCATATTATAACTAAGAAATACAAAAACGGTC